TGTGTGAGTGTGTGTGTGTGGTGAGTGTGTGTGTGTGTGAGTGTGTGAGTGTGTGTGTGTGTGTGTGCTTCTGAATAAAAATGATTTGCCCTGTCAAGTCTCTAGAGTACCCTAAAATCAACACAATGTCACAAAGGGGCTATTTGGACATCCTAACGCCTGCCCTTCACGCACATACAAACAAAACCACACACACTCATACCATTCTGGGTGAGTTTGGTGGAGCAGACCAGGGTAGAGATGATGAAGCTGTCTCTAGAGCTGACTGACAGACCTCCTCCACTCCCAGACACGTTGCTGGAGCTGCGGCTCAGCCCCGACGTCTTGTGGGGGTCACCATGGTGGTGGCGTGTCGAGGGCAATGACAAGTAGCAGTTCACGTCCTCCATGCGCTTACTGTCACCCTGAGAGGACAATGTGAGGGAGTCATTTTTAACCCAATAATGTTGACACACCAGTAATGCTACAACTTCACTAATGATGGCACAGATGTTTGGTGAGTGTTGAAGCAGCACTGGGACAAGAATTCTATTTCCTGTATTTAGTCAAAATGTCTCAATGCAAATGCAGGGGTAGAAGATAGCGAGGCACTGGGGTTTGCTACACTTGCAGTGATTTATCAGGCCAGTCCTGCAGGAAAAAATGACAAACAATGATTGAAGTCGCCAGTAGTAACCCTCTGTGATCACTATGCCTTATCTACTTCTGCCTAACTCAATTTCCTTCTGTTTACTCATAACTTTGGAGCCTTTAAATCCAGGACAGGGCAGAAAAGAAGAACACAAACAACAACACCAAGTATTGGTGCATCATTTCTTTTCTTGGTTACAAAGTACTGAAAATCTATTGTAAACACACAGGAAAGAGATATGTGAGTAAAAGAGATGAGCTATCGTCTCTTGGCAAAATCATTTTCCATTTGTCTCTACTGTTTATGTGATCCTACTTTACATCCTACTGTACATTCTTCCTGTGTCTTAGATTAATTTGGACCTCAAACCTCAACTCTGCCCTCTTTAATGCAAAACTAGTAGGTAATAATAATTGAGTAAGTAGGTGGAAAAGCAGGGAGCGAGAGATTGAAGGCATGAGTGGCACAGACATCGAGGGGAATGTAAGGATAACGAGAGATAATCGAGAAAGAGGGCACAGTGGGACCATGCATTTGGTCTTTGAGTGAATCACGAGTAATTAATCTTCATTGCGTTTGGCATTTAATCAATAAGGGGATTCAATCTTAGCTCTGACTCATTTGGCAGGAAATCTATTTGGCTTCACTCAACCTGCTGTCTGTGTGGCCATAATCTCCTGTCCAGACTCACTATATGTTTAGGTCTGCTTCCAGGATGGTTGCAACTGAAATTCTTTCTTTGCTACAGTATAAACTTTTTTCAAAGAAACAGTTTATCTGCCTTTTTCTACCATGCACGCAAATATCCTTCAGCCAAGAAACCCAGTATGCTTCGGTGATTTGTAAACTCTACCATTCATTTCTCACCATTATATACAAATAGATGAAAGATCTCCAGAATTACATAGGGAATGGCATTGAACTTTGGTACAGTTAGAAAAAACTTCCCCATTCAGTCATGTCTGATCATGAATGATGAATCAAACGAATCCTGTAAACTGGCTTTATAATTTACCACCAAATGATTGGAGTCGCCATTTTCATCTGACATACTACGTAAAATATTTCATATTTAATGGGAGTTGGGCTGTTCAATGCAAAACTCGTTGGTCCAACAAAAGTAATGAGCTGTGACCCTTTCTCATCATAAACACCATTTATTACTCTCAGAGGAGCTTTTATATCTGAGTCTGAAAGCTCTGTGTGTTGATCTGCTATTAAGTTGCCGAATGGTATTATTCTGCATATTGGGGGTCAATCAAGATGGGATTTGGGTGACAGTAAAGAATCAAGTTTTCCGGTGAGCTGACATTTGCCTGATATACTCTTTATTTGATTTGATTTTCTCTGAAGGAGACACTGGATGCTGTTCACAAGTTCATCTATTTTCTTTCTACAAAAGCTCTGTTTTTGGTTCTGACCTTGAAGACCACAAGGTCATGCTGCCCATCTTGTAGAACTGTCCCATCCTCCTTCATCAGACGCACAAAGGCCATGGCAAAGTTCTTCTCGCTCTTGTCCTTGGCTGCAGTCGAAGGAGACGGATATGTAAACAGAAGAAGAGAGAGGGTCAGGGGGGGAAACACATCAGGGAAATAGAAAGGGGAGGGGGGGTGGGAGAATTCAGGCATGGGAGGAAGAAAGACTGTTGATTTGTATAATCAAGTGTGTGTAATGATGCCTTGGGTCATTTTCCAAATTGCTTCCAATCATTGAGTCCTTTCAGTGTCACGTTATGCTCAGGGGATCAGAGTTAAGAGTGTATGCAGCAACAAACAGGCTGAGGACAAGAGGCTGATACTCACACTCCTGGGAAGAGCGGTGTCTGAACATGAAGCGTAAATGAATTCTGTGCATTTCTTCCAGAGGGACTGCCACCTGGAGGACATTTCATGTTATTATAGAATATAAAAAAACAGATGTGTTTAACATTTTACAGGTATATTCTGACATTCTGGGGTTTATTTTCTTCAAATAAGGAAAGCAACTGCTATATAAACACTAGACCTCTTAAAGGAAACTGAAAAAAGTGTCTAGTATAGACAGCAGTAAATTCTAAAAATAACTACTTTCGAATTGTTTGCTCTGCAACTTCGTCTACAACACACACAAACACACCTTAATTGTCTCCACCCAGCGGGGCTGTTTGACTTGGTAGTAGATGACGGATCTGTACTCACTGACCGCTTTATCCCCTGCTCCCAGACAGATGGAGTTCTAGGAAAAAGGGAGGGAGAGAGAAAAATACTTGTCATATTGAGCTGAAGGATTTTATGTTTGTGTGTGCATCCATGTATGCCTAAGATGGATTTTCATTCTGGGATAAAGCCACGTCCATGTGCCACTGACTATGAGAGGGTGAGTAAGCGCTTGATCAGTGCCGTGCTTTCTCACTGGCCCATACCACCTCAATCTCTTAAACACTGCACATATGGTACACACACACACACACACACACACACACACACTATATCTCAAACCAATCCTTGTTTACACAAATCCCTTTCCTATCATATATGACATGCTCTACACATCCTCCACCTCATCTCTTCGTGCTGCTCACCTGTATGACCTTGCCCTCCTCATCACAGACCCACATAATGACCTCCACGTTTTTCTGCGTTGTCTTATTATATTTGTCGAAGTCGCCGCCCACTAAGGTCAGGTAGATGTCATTGCGAACATCTCCCGGCATAATGATCTCTGGGAAGCCCAGCTTGCGGGCCACCACAGTGCTGCGGTCCACCAGGTGAGGGTATTCCTTCCGGATCTGAACTATGTCCCCTACCAGAGCCTTCATGGTCACCCACAGACCTGGAGGGAGGTGGGGGTAGAGGAGGAGGGAAGACTATGTATTACTGTTTGACAAGTATACATTTTTCAGGCATTTTTAAGCCTTATTTAACGTGTCCCTTAAAAAACATCAACACTCTTGATAAGCGCCAGAAAAAGCATTTAGTCAGAATCTCAAGACAGATGGCAGACTGATGAATTGCACATATTGTCTGGGATATTTTCCTACCTGTGAATGGGTAGTTAATCTAAAGAGTAATAACCCATTAAATAGGTAGAGAAACTATATTTCATTGGGGTATCTCATTTAATGATGTTCCTTGGTAATTACACAAGATTTTGTGTACATTACTGGACAGTGTCACTGGTCTGAAAGAGAAAAATATTCTCCTGTTATACTTGTAATAACTGACCAATGTTGATCCCCTCAAAACAACTTAGGAAAACACAGGGTATGTGTAGATATCAGAGAGTCAAATCTTATACTTACACAGGTCTTTGTTTGACCAAATACTAATAAATGTACTCAAACAACAAATAGATGCCACTCCAGGCTATTTTAAATGAAGGATCCAGAGAGGAGTTTTACTTCTCTCTGCAGGCAAGTACATTGAAATTAAAGTCAAATGAATGCATAAAGATTTTCAAGGCTCTGTACCATTTAAAATCAATTTAAAACATGGAAAATGTTTTCAGGACCAACAGAAACCCTAACATATGGGGCTTAAGAGCAGAACTTAAAGTGAGACCCACTTTATGTAAAAAGTTAAGTGTTTTAAGTGCGTATCCAAGGAAGACATAATGTGAAAGTGTTCCAAGGTGAACCAGGGAATGTGAAAATGTCTGCTGTTTTTGTAGACTAGACTGTAATCAATGCTATAAAATCTCCTGTTTGTGAAAAGGGTGTATGACAAGACAAAGAAAAGGATGGAGGTGTTACAGTATCATAATAGGCAAAAATGTAGTCCTAAAGAGTATGAGCGCTAAGACCTTTCAGAGAAATTGTGTGAGAAAAAATAGACAAAGAATGGGCAGAAAATGGAAAAAAGGGGGTGAGCTATTTTAGGGAAACACATAGTTGGTGAAATCTAGACTATGTCACAAACCCACATTTTCAAGGCTAACCACATACCTACAGGGAATACTCCGGATATGTGTGTCAGTGTGTGTGTGTTGTGTGTGTGTGTGTGTGTGTGTGTGTGTTCAGTGTGTGTGTGTGTGTAATGTGGCAGAAACGTCTCAAAGTGAGAGGAAGGTGAGATTAGGGGTGAGTAATGTTAAGAACAGACATCTGGTGGCCTCAGGTGCTCCTTCCATATCTGCTCGTCCAGGTACACCTTTCATATCTAGGTTATGCCCAGGGCCTTCAGGAGCATGAGGAAAGATAAAAGCTGAGCGATACAACATTGCAGTCCAACATGCAGGGTTACTCTATGTGAAATAAGACAGTGTCACACATAGGAGCTGTCAAAGTCAGTCATAAACATGAGGTAGTGGGCAGTGAGACAGGAGGCTGGCGAGGGAGAAATAAGGGGTAAGTAATATGTAAACATCTGCTCAAGGGCGCGTGCTATCCATCAAGATAATGACCTTCATTCTCACCCACAGATCACAGAAGAGGCGAGGATGCAATGAGGAATGACCGCAAATGACTGCAGCATACACAGTCCATTGGGTAGCTTCAGTGCAAACAGGAGTGCTAACAGCAGAGTAGTCACATGGCTTACACACAGGAAACAGAGAGCACAGCCTGTAAGTGCTGGAACAGTACCTTGGCCACCACTGTCCCCTCGTGATGCTGTCACTTTGTTCAGCAAGGAGTGGAGGAAGTCGTTCTCAGCCACAACCCTGGAGCCAAACAGACACAAACACACTTGAAAATACACAAACAGCTTAATCTTAATCTAAGTTTATAAGAGTACAAAAGGAGAGGGGGAGTATAGGTGGAGTAATAGAGGAGGAAAATAAGACATACGGGAAGAAGGGGATGAAATACTGCTTCTCCTCATCGCATTCGATCTTCCCTTTGATGAGATCACTAATGTCCATCACTGCAAAGAAACAAATGTGTCTGTGATGAAAGAAAATCTAAGAAAATGCTATACAGTCATTTCTAATGTGGATTCACATCAGTCAACAATGAACATTTTGTAAAACTCTCTATTACACAAAAGTCTAGCAAAACAGGTCCCACAACACACCCTGATAGCTTTTTTGTGAGGTTATATGAGGAAGCAATGAGATATAAGCAATGTTTTTGAGCTGGAGGGCACAATAGTAGATTTACTGGTAGAAAAAGTAGTAGTCACTATCAATATTTTAGTAGTTTGTGCAAAAGATGACTGTGGTTTCACCAGGTAGCTCCCAGGTGTAAATATGTGGGATAATACCAGCAGCAGTTGACAAGTCAGACAAAATTACTCTGACCTTTAGGAAAAAAAAGTAAAACTCACTGAAGAGAGCATTATTGTACCAAACTGCTCAAATTTGACAATGAAATGAGGCAAAACAGCCTTTTTCTGTCATCAAATTTATTGCTGGTTAAAGAGAAGCTACTAAAAGCAATTGTTATTGATTGACCATAAAGATAAATCTTTCTGATTAGCAATTTGGTAAGTCTAATTACTTGGACTGGCAGCACCTTCAACCAAAATAAAGCTGTATTGGCTGTTCTATAAGTACCTGCCACCCCAAACGGCCGTCTCAGGCCCATAGTCCACTTCTTGGTCTGCGTCTCTTTCAGGTCCATCCTGCCAACTCTGACTATCTGACAGATCAAATAAATCTTTTCTCTGCTCAGGTCCTTGTTCCCCAGGTCCTGGTAGAGAAAATCAGGGAAAGGAGAGCAGAGAAAAAAGAAAACAAAAGAGGAAGTATAGGGAGTGAGAATAAGATATATAAGGATGGAAAGATGGAGGAAAGAAGAGTTGGGGCCAGGAAGTTAGTAGGAAAGAGAGTGGGGGAGAAAATGAAAAGAAAGCAATCTTCTTAAAAGTGAGTAAATTCATTAATTTATACATTACAGTGTTTGTAGTGTTAAGAAACAGTGTGATAGTGCCCTCATGTGGTCACTTACTGTAAAGACAACCTTCAGGTTGTTGAGCATGTCAATCTCCTTGGGAAATCCTTTGCTGCCCCAGCGTACCAAGTAGTTCTCACTGCACAGACATGGAAAAGAGTTAGACACACAGCATATTTGTTACATTACTGTCCTGCAAAGCTAAACTACACAATATTTGCAGCTGCAATAAAAATATCATCTTGTTCTCCATGACTGAAATTCTGTTTTTGTGTATGTACATTTCCACCTACAAGAGGAGATGAATTAAAAAGATGGAGATATTATCTCCGTCCAATCCAGAGAGAGCAAGTGCTTGGTCCAGATAAAGCTGGACCGTTAACCTCTATTATCTTTTGGTACTCTTTGGGAGAGGATCACAGAGCAGTCTGTCTGTCGTGTACATGAGCATACTATATGCAGCTCACGAATGTCAATGTTACATGATTTCTGGGGAAATTAAGTTATAATGTTTCAGTCAAGGCTGGATCCGCTAATGTTACCCAGTGCAGCTGCATAATAATTTTGACTCAAGTGCTAAAAATACAAGCCTTCTATTCACAATAGCATTTTCCTAACATACAAGCAGACACTGACAGATGGATGAATAGAAAGATAGACAGCAATACAGATGGGTGTCTATGGGTACAGTGGGGTGAATCAAAGCTGAGAAAAAGCTGATACCTTCCTAAAACATTCCTGTCATAAAACCCTACTATCTGCCATTATTTCAGATAGAGACAGAGAGATTGACATGGTGAGGGAATGGATAGGACAAAACAAAAAATATAACTAAATCAAACAAAAAAGAACAAGTGCAGATTAGACAGAAGAGAATCAGGACAAATGGCAAGAAGGTAAGAAATGACTGAAAGAGTGGTGGATATATATTGAGAAAAAGACAATCGATCCAGGTCTATCTTAATACTCCCAGCGGCAGCAGCTGAGACATAGATATACCCACCATGACAGTGAGTGACAAGGCTTAACATCAGCCCTGTCAGCCACCACATAGTGCTGCCAGTCAGTATCTGCTGCCCTATAATTTGTGTTTTCTGTATTCTTATTTTTGGCATACCATTGTTCTAATTTAGTTGGGTTCAACAACGGAGGAGAGTGGAAAAATAAGGATACAAGAGAAGGAGAGATAAGGAAATGGAAGAGAAAGGAGGAGTGTGTGTGGGCTGGAGTGTGTGTGTGTGTGTTTAAGACATTTGAGGGATGAAGGTGAGTTAGAGAAAATCTGAACTTGAGGAAGTAAATTGGCACTAAGAGGGATACAGTGGAGGCTAAATGCTTTTCATCATAATTTCCCCATATTTTTATTTTATTTATAGGATAAAGTTTACTTATATAATCTAAAATCATCTAATCATATCTAATATTTGACCTATGAAATTCAGACACAATCACATCAATATAAGCCATACGAAGATTTTCTATCACTATGTGACTCACCGTTACATCCCAAAATTGATTTCAAATGTATGAAAAGGGAGTTAACAGATTATCTAGAGCTTTAAACCTTTAAATCAACATGCAAAGAAAACCTGTATAAAAAACCTTTTTAAGCACACTGTATGAAGGACTGAAGCTAAGAGAGAAGGACAAGAAAAGTGACACCTGATGATGCTCTGTTTGATGGGGTCATAGAGGGACATGAAGAGCTCTGAGTCCTCTCCAATGCGACAGACAAAGTTCCTGACAAAGACGTAGAGGCTGTGGGTGGGGGAAGACTGTATCCGTGCTGAGATCCCGCTGTGGTCTGTCTGGATGTTGGACTGGCAGGAGAGGACATTAGTTTTAGGAGGTTAACTTGGAAGAAGGGTTTAACAGGATTAAAAAAACAGCCAAAAGCCTCCATTTCAAGGTCTTGTCAAGTTTGGTAAACTGGTATGACAGTTAAAAATATTTGGCTATTTAATTCTAGGATGTACCAGCTGCATCATCCAGTTTGCGACTTTGTAAGGGTGAAGCACAGAAAATCATAATAGAATATAATCTTTTCTTACTAATGAATAAATGTTGAAATGTAAAATAGGCTGTAGCGAGTTGAAATGAAGTCAAGCAAATTTGTGAGGAAATGAATTCTTAATTAGGCTTGGCAAACAGACATGATTGGAAAGTAAAATGTATTATCCACGGCATTTTCATGCAGATAGTTTCATTTTACAACTTCCTTACAAAAAAAAACCTAAATGAAATGAAATTGTGATCTCATCCACATCTACTTTGCAATATCTTTTACATTTTTATGATATTATGAAAGGAAAGAATAGTTGCCCTGGAAGAATCCCATGGTACACATTTCTAGTGTCTAGACATGTGTATCATGGGAGTACACATATCTAGTGCAGTCAAACTACATCAGGGCAGTCTAGTGTAGTGCTGCATAGTGCTGTCAAACCACAGCAGTGTCAAAGAAGTAGCCAAATAAATTTACTTTTAATTGCAACATCCACCATCCCATCCACCCAGGAGATTCTTTCTCTGTCCTAGAAAACCTTCTGTGTGGCCCTCTCCATGCCTTCCTATCCTTTGCCTCACCTGCTCCTCTTTGATGCGTTCGTTGATCTTGGCCGTGGCCTCCTCGTGGGCCCGAAACAGACTAATGACACTAGCCCGCTCCGGTTCCAAGATGTTCCCATCCTCGTCCCGAACCACCTGGTCCAACTCCAGGATCCTGTAGTAGGGGGCAGGAGAGGTGAGAATTTGTGGAAGATTAATGTAAGCCGAACAAAAGGAGAGAGGACAAAGAAAGGGCAATGAGTGTAGGTGGTAATGGAGGAGGGAAGAAGATGGAGGTGTGATGGGAGGGAGGAGGGAAAAGAGAGCAAAGAAAGATAAGGGGAGCAAATTCTGAAAAATATATGGTTAGAAAGATGTGAACAGGTAGGTGAGGCGGGAGAAAATGAGCTTACATGACAGACTGAAATTAGTTTGATCGTCGAGAGAGTGAACATAAAGTGTGAACAAGTGATTTTATTTTTGAGCAGACATACTTGTTGCCGTAGTCAATCTTGGAGGTGACTTTCTGCTTAAGTTCCTTGAATTCGTCACTAGGCAGAGTGCCAGACAGGAGCTGGGAACGCCACTCCATTAGCTCACACATCAGTCTCTGGACCTGCTTCACACGCGCCTGTTTATTGGCCTGGACAGGTAGATGCATGCTGTGATCTTACACTCTGACACTCACATTCACATACACAAACAGTGCTTTGGCTTGTCTGTTTTTTATTACCACAAAAAGCTGCTTCCATATGCTTCCCCATTCCCTCAGTGTGGTGGTCACCTCCTTCACCAAGGGCATCTCTCCAGAGATCACTAACTCCTCATCTCTGTAGTCACACACACATACATAACAAATTTAAAGACAATTTAAAATTTAAAGTTAAAAAAACTTTTGGAGACGGATGAAGACTTTTTAGCTGTACTTACCCTCGTTTTTCAATGATGACTTCCTTAAGGTGGACAAAACTGGCAGGGAACACTCCCTGGAAAGGAATATGTGTGGGGGAGATGAATAAGAATAAACAGCAGTAGCTTTCACCTTTTCTATCCATAAAAGTAGAAAAGAAGATCTCCCAGTTGAATAAAGCCAGCTGGATGTCATGCATTATGTGCCATCACATTTCTCATAAAACCAATGTCTGGTGGTAAGTGTGAGCTCTTACCTGTTGGGCTTTGTTCCTAGCCAAGTAGCCTCGATACCATCCTGAAAGACAAAATCATCTTACTTGCCGCACTGAAATCTCTACATGGGAAGGTTTATGGTGTTCGGTAGTAAAATCTTGAGGTGTCTGGACTGTATGTGGGAAGACTGGGATACATACAGTCTCTAACTGGTACTAACAGTGACCTAATATTGGTGTACTGGTGCACAGTAAAGTTGTCAATCAATTCTCAATATTTTATTCTGTGTGATACTCCATAAAATGAGCAACATCCAGAATGAAATACAAAATGAGTTATAACTTTAACTAAGTAAAATAATTGTTTATCAAAATGACAGTACTCTAGTTTGTTTGATGCACCTGGTTTATAATGTGGTAAAAATAAGACTTTGTTTAGGATATGCCACATACAGATGCAAAATATTAACACATCTTTAACTTTTCTTTTAACATGTTAAACAAACACCATGAATATGTTATTTATAAGATTTAGAAGCACTATATAACAGAAGTGGTGTTAAATTGAATAATAGTACTATTTTTTATGTTTTTGAGATATTCTTACCATCACAGACCTCCTGGATGTGGACCATATCTCCTACCTCGAGGGAGAGCTGCTTCTCTCCTTGGCCAACAAAATTCCACTTTACTAAAAAAAGAAATTTTACAGTCATGAAAGATGCATCTACAATGAAAAAAGCTTGCAGGCACACAAACACCAACTGAGCACACCTCTCATGTTATGAATGTTAGCACAAGCAGTAAGATAGTAGTTCTTTGGTAACCTTGGCAACAACTGTCAGTTTCAAGCTGCCAGTGCACACCTTTCAAAACCAAAGCTAAATAAACAAAAGGCAGCACCGTAAAATGGCAGGAGTGACAGAACCATAACTTATAGTTTTATATTTACATCAAAATAAAGAAAGCAACTAATAGCCTAAAGTTAAAAAAGTGGAAATAACTAAATAAAGCCTTATTTAGAAGCACAGTGCAGGTCAACAACAACGGAACAAACAAACCCAGAGGTTTATTCCTGCCAACATTTCTTATTGTTTTACCATACCTTTTTTTCAGACTACATGGGCGATTTGATGGACTGCAGGCAGGTCTGCTTGCTTCTGACTTTTTAATAGAGCTGAACATATTTAGATTAATACAATTCTAAAAGTCAATTTAAATTTAAAGAAAAATATTCGTAAACTATTTTGATAATTCATTGAAGCAAAAATATCAAACATCATCTGGTTCCATTCTGGTCCAATTGTGACGATTTGCTGCTTTTGTCTGTCTTACATGATGGTAAATATATGAATATCTTTGGGTTTTGGACTGTCGGTGATCAGGCAAAACAAGCAATCTAAATATGTCAACTGACTCTGGAAAGCTGTAATCATGGTTATTTTCACTATTTTCTGACATTTCATAGACCAAATGATTAATAAATGAATATAAAAATGAATCAGCAGATTAATCAATAATTAATGTAATTGTCAGTTGCAGCCTTACTGTACAAGATGCAATGATAGCAACAGGTGTTTGCAGTAGGAATAAGCACTGAGCAACAGCATGGCAGGGCGAGAGAGTAGCCAGCAGCTACTGTACGCTGCCTCACTGGAAAGAGCACATTGGATATCAGTTTGCTGCAGAAAGTAAGTGTGGTAATGAAACTTGCTTTGTCTGTCTGCACTAACTCAGGCTTGCTCTGGTATGGGAACTGAACAAGCGATTACACAGCTATAAAGTGACTGCTAAATAAAGGGATTATTATAATGTGACTATAAAAAGGGGCACACTACTTTTAGACCAATAGTTAAACAATGCTTTCAAACTAAAAATATATGTACATACACATACAGTATTTAGCGGTATGGCTTCAAACTCGAACAAGCTTCCTTCCTTCCGCCTCCATTTCCTGTGTTGTAGTTTTACACAGACCAGGAAGATATTAACTCTAGAGTAGATAGTAGATAAACAACTGTTCATTGACTAATCATATTAGTAATTGATTCAAAATGTATTTTATCATTTGTCATTCTCACTATCAATCTTAAACTACAAGCTGTAGAACTATTGGGATGAAAAACTTGAACTTGAATGAAGAAAAAGTTGTCTTCACTCACTTTCTACAAAACAAACTATATGCCTAACTTATTGCAAATGTCAGATCAATCCATAGATCGTCTGCAACATGCCAGCGAACCTCAGCTTTTGCAGTCTGTATTAGAAGTCAGAAATCTGTATTCATGCTAACTAAGTTTGTGTCTGTCTTGCATATCTAACAGCAACACATGCTGATCAGCTCGGCCATATTCAACCCACATCCCTGATAAACTACAGATTGTACAGAGAAGCTGCACTTTTACAGTCTAGGATTTTTTCCTGGTGCCAAAATCCATCTTTCCACAACTAAACTGGTCATTTTCAGGAATGATTTATATTCTTGCATCTATATTTATGCATTGCATAATATGTAATGCATGGAGATTTCCTACTAACAGCAACACATTTCTCCATCAGCTTAGGAGGGATAGTAATGACTTTATCCCTTTACACAGTCCACCGTAGATCTTATGAATTCTATTGCATTGAAGCTAAATAGTGAATATGATTTTAGGATTTAAGTTCTTTGGAGGGATTACATCTGATGTGTATATCCCAATGTTCTACGAGGCCGTTCGCACCTGCTTACATCCTGTTTACCCGGAAGAGATGGGCATCTGTTTTTAATCTCATTCTTATTCATAGCATAAATAGTTTAGATCACACCTAAACAGAGAGACACTATGTATGCACACATACAGACTAAGACACAGACAAGTGAGCGCATACTGACTTACCTACACCATACCGCTCCGAGATGGTCCTCGTCCAAGGACCCATGGTTGCATGTAGTCCTTTACCTACTTTCTAGTCTTGTCTTTCTGTTTCTCCTCCTGTTTCTCTCTCTCTGTGTGTTTTGGGTGAGGGTGTCTGCTAAACTTCTCACTTCTGTATTTTCTTTACTTTAAATGAAAGTAATAAGCCCATCCCCCCTTGCTTCTCTTCCTCTTCTGTCTCTTCTCTCTTCCTGCCTTTAAGCGGTTAAGGGGAAGTGGGTGAGTACAACAAGGTGGAGTCCTATAGACGCCACAGGCCTGCGCAGTGTGTGAAGACTCCATTTTGAAGACTCGGTGGATTACCATACCTTTATTATAACTGAATGTAAAACACAAACAACCTGTGTCTTGTGTTACAGAAGGGTCAAAAGTGATGATGTGTGTCTGCCATCTAACATTGTTTTGTCTCTCACCATTTTCTCTTTGTGAATCACCCTTTATGCTTGTGAAATCAAGTGTTTATGTCAGAAGAAGCAGATAATTGCTTGATGTTTATTAATAGATAACCCCACAACAAGAAAGACTGGTTTCAACACCATGAGCAGACTTGATGAGAAAATACTATTCTGGATATGCTTGTTTCAAGAATTCTTTAAAAAAGCTGTAATAAAGTGTAAGCCTATCATGACGTTATTCATTGGTTTGTGGAGTACTGTTTTAAATCCTCGAGTTTGGCATTTTGGTCGTCACAATGACAGTTTATCGGACCCAGCAGAGGTGAAGTACTGCAAGTTGAGTTGCGCTCATTGGCTGCACATTTTCGACTTATCCATAGCAGGAAACAGTTAGTCAGCCATTTTTTTTCAGTCCATCAGTGATTTCTTGGCTCAATTTTCAATTTCCCTTGCCTGGTTCCCTGCAGCTAACACTAACAAATAACTAGCATTAATTATATTATCTTATCTCAAGATATGACAAATTTTAAACACACTGTTGACCCAGAGTGGGAGCTTGAGGGAAAATACTATTCTAGATAAGCTTGTTTCAAGAATTCTTTATAGCCTAAGTCTGAAATCTTAGATATACTGCCAATGGCTGAAATCCATATCTGAGATTTCCAATAAAAAACTCCTTCATCAGATGTACATTTCCCTTGTACCTTTTTGAGATGATGTTGCCAGGGCAACCATCATGTTCCCATTGTGAGAGCATCCTCAACACAAGAAAGATTTGCAACACCCATACATAACAGATAGGACCTTTTTCAATATTACTGACGCCTCTTTGTCTTGAAAAACAGGACATCCATTTTATTTTTTCCCTATTATTATGGATCGAGATTGACCATTTTAGCATACAAACATGGGGGGTGGCAGGCTTCTACGCCCGAGAACGCCACAGGGCATCTTTAATAAATATTTAATAAAAGTTAGTTTAATCTCTCATGCATTACAACTAAAGTTTGAAATCTGGATCACTTCAATCATAAAAAAGCATCCCCATTTTACCTAAGAACAGTAAAAATACTGTCTCTAAGTTCCTCTGTATCCTTAGCATTTCCAGTCAGTTAATATTATTATTTACACTGCTGAAGTAGACAGCATGCGGCTTTGCAAGTTGGCTCTCAACCAATGACACACAAAAGGGCTGATTTACAGTTTTCTCAGCATTTGACCGTTACTGTGGGTGATGTGTTTGAGTTTTATTATGCTGATGATTGAAGAGACTACCACATATTCATATTTGCTACACCCAAAATTATGACAAAAAATGTACAGTATTTAGTTGTGATTCATCAATCATGAGTACTGTGTGTCATCACCACCATTATAGAGAGGACTATTACTTATTAAGTTGCTTTTGGCCACTTTGGCACCGATATAGACTGTGTGTGGGTGTATGTACTTTAACCTCCCCCTTGTGACACCTTACAATAGGGCTACAAGACTGACCTCTTGCAAAAAAGCAATTCAAGATTGCTGTTGTTGGTCGTACTGTAATTTCATCTGTAACAAATTCCATGGCGAAGCATTCAGCATTACCACCAAATGGCATGTTTATTAAAGCTGATATTTGTCTGTTGAACATAAATAGATCAATTAGGTCTAATGGAGTAGCTATCTGGCTAAGCTAAGAGCGTGAATATATCTTAAAACTGCCAGATTACCTAAAGATTATAAAATTAGACTGTAAAGAAATTAACTAGTAGGGAATTCTGGTGTCAGCTGGTGAAAGTAGTAAGTACTACTAACATGTGGAACTGCTGGTTGAGGTGAAAAAAAGTATTGAAAAGTATTACTGACCAATTAAACAAAAATGGAAATTATGATCATGCTTGCACCGAGCAAACTGCAAAAGTTTAGCCTCTCGCATGTTTTAGCCAATAAAGAATTATAGCATGAAAATTAAATACAAGAAAACTAAAATTACAAACCACCCCTTATTACAATTAGCTTAATCAAACATATTTAGTTTAAAATACAGTACTGTTGCATTTGACAAATTAAAAAAAGTTATTTTACCATTAGAATAAATTTTAGACTTCTGTTGACACAAATATTACCTTTTTGCTCTAAAATTGCTTTTTCATTAAAGAAGCATTTGCATTCAGACAGATGCAGGTTTTTTCAGTCAGTCAGTGATTTCTTGGCTTAATTTTCCTTGTCTGGTTGCCTGCGGCTAACACTAACAAATGACTTATTTCCTTAGAAATGATGTCATTACTTTGCAAATCCAAAAGGGGGTGGTAGAGTTCTAGATCATTTTTCATTTTTTGTGTTATTCCCCTGGCATTACCTCATCTTATCTTATCTCAAGATAGGGCATATTTTAAACCCACTGTTGACCCAGTCTGGGAGCTGTAGTTTAACTTCCCATAATAAAAAAATATATTACAATACTAATGGAATTTGAGGTACCACTGCCAACTGCCTTTTTTACACTATGCCTTTAAATAAATGGTGCCTTTCCTTACTCTACCTTGCATGGGAACACTGGGGCCCAACAGCGTCAAAGCTAAGAAACATCCAACTATGGTCTCATTTTTAAAAAGACATACAGAGATCAATAACTGATGATGCCGTCAGTTCAGGTCAGAAGTGCCAATCAGGTATCCTCCACCAACTCAAAAATATCAGAGCTGGAAATCTTGTTGTTATGGAAACATGAGGGGAGACAGAGCTGAGGTGTCAACACACTATGGATTTAAAACTGACAGAAAGGTGAGCTTAGAAACATCAACAAGTATGTACATGTGAAGAGGTGAGACTTGGTTTTGTGTGCTGTAGAAAGGGAGAGTGAGAGAAAGACAGGCAGATAGATGAAGAAAGAAGGAGAGAAGGACATTAAAAAGAAAAAAATGATAAAGAAAGATATGTTATCGCATAGTTTTGTGTAGTGGAACAAAACTGGAACCTTGTTGCTGTGACTCACAAGGAGAAATAAGGGCGGAGCTTAAAGGTATGAGACAGAAAGAGAAAATGGAACAGACAGATATAACCAGAGATGCAGCGATATAGAGATGAAGAAATAAAAAAGACATCAGGCAGAGGGACAGTTTTGAACGGAAAGAAAAAGCACAAAAAGAGACAAAGAAAGGTTCAGCAGGGCCAGGGAAACTGAGACAGAGCCAAAGACAGACATGAGACAGAAGCAGATAAGGAAAAGGGAGTCAAAAATGGACAAAAGTTACGAAAAGAGACATGATAATGACTTATGAATATTAGCCTGAAGCCCAGAAGATGAATTTACATTGAAAAGGGAAGAGAAGCCACACCAGGAAAAATAGATACAAAGGCTGAGTAAAAGGCTGCACCAGAAATAGAGAGATTGATTTAGAAATCTTTGTGACCTCTCAGGTCATTGACATCACTCCAGTCCAACTGGTGCCAGTTCTCAGAGATTTACCCGAAACCCATTCATCCACGAAGCATTAAAGAATCCCTAAATTATTAATCTGTATAAAGTTTAGAGAGCCGAGAAGAAAAGTCTTAAAGACAAGAAATTATGCGTGCATGAATACCATGCCTTCCTGCGTCCCTCCCCTCAACAAAGTGGACCCATTAGGGCTAAAGGCAACAGGTTGCTTGGAATATACAGGTAAAATTGCCCAGTCTCCAATGGCAAAAGTTTGTTGAAAAAGAACCTGCTTTATCGCAGCAGCTGGCACATGCAAGTCAGAAGGCACAATAAGAGAATGGAAGAGCTATTAAAATAATTTCAACAGCAAATTACTCGAAGAAGATAGAGAAGAATAATAGGAGGCGACACAGAGAGGGTGAAAGAAAAAGAGAGAGAGAGAGAGAGCTGTGTGAGAGTCACTGGCGCTCCCTCGCTTGCTCTCTCTCGTCTCCTCCCCACATACACTTACACACTCATTACACGCGCACACACACTTCATGAGCGAGACTGTGGTTCTCTCGGGGAGCAGAGTCGCAGGGGCAGTCGCCACAAAAAAGGAAAGGCAGCGCTGAGGTGAGTTTATAAATTTACTACTTTATACTTTCTAAAACATCTTTAATATGTCATCAAACTTGAATGAGTGGTGTGTGAAAACATAATCCATCCTGTTGTATTTGTACTGCAAAGGCATGATTTGCTGGTGTGCATTTCAGCAGCAATTCCTTTAATATTTGTCAAATACTTGATAAACCGCTTTAACTGCACCATCAATGAAAATGTGGTTTCATTATCTTTTATCACTTGTTCATATCAGATTTAGAACATTTTTTGCTTTTTAGAGTTACAATTTTAAGCATTTTCGTGCAAAGATGAGCAAAGGAGAATAAAACATAAGATAGAGAAGCAGTATGTCTGCGGTTAGTGATACGTGACCTCGGTCAGACTCACAGCATCTGAAGTTCCTGCTCAGAATGTCTGTTGGCTCAGTTGTTGGGAAACAACCATGTTATAACATAAATTCAAATGTACAGGTTTGTGGTTGTTCAGTTCAACTGAGTCAATCGGGAGTCTGGTGTGGGCATGTGAACTCTGCACAATGACAAATATACAAAGGGGTCATTTAATCAGTCATAAAAATGAGGAAGTGAGATTATTCTGTGTGCGTGTATGTGTGTAATAGAAGCAAAGAACTAATTTATCTTTCACCTGTTGCTAGATTTGGGTCATACATTGAGGTTTGAACTTCACCTTTCACATTCTAAAACAAATACAGCGTGAATTTCCATAGGAACACATCAACAAACAGACATATAGATAGACAGATCAATGCAGATCCATATA